AGACACACACACTCACTCGCTCACTCTCACACACACACACACACTCACTCACTCACTCACTCGCTCTCACACACTCACTCACTCACACACACACACTCACTCACTCACTCACTCGCTCTCACACACTCACTCACTCACTCACTCGCTCTCACACACTCACTCACTCACTCACTCGCTCTCACACACTCACTCACTCACTCACTCGCTCTCACACACTCACTCACTCACTCACTCGCTCTCACACACTCACTCACTCACTCACTCGCTCTCACACACTCACTCACTCACTCACTCGCTCTCACACACTCACTCACTCACTCACTCGCTCTCACACACTCACTCACTCACTCACTCGCTCTCACACACTCACTCACTCACTCACTCGCTCTCACACACTCACTCACTCACTCACTCGCTCTCACACACTCACTCACTCACTCACTCGCTCTCACACACTCACTCACTCACTCACTCGCTCTCACACACTCACTCACTCACTCACTCACACACACTCACTCTCACACACACTCACTCACTCACTCACTCACTCACACAAACTCTCACACACACTCACTCACACTCACACATTCATTCACTCACACACACACACATTCACTCATGCTCGCTCGCTCACACACACACACTCTCACTCACTCGCTCACACAAACTCTCTCACACACACACACACACACGCTCTCTCACACACACTCACTCACTCACTCACTCACTCACACAAACTCTCTCTCTCGCTTCACACTCACTCACTCACTCACTCTCACACACACTCTCTCACTCACTCTCTCTCACACTCACTCACTCTCTCACACACTCACTCACTCTCACACACACATTCTCTCACTCACTCTCACACTCACACTCACTCACTCACTCTCACACACACACACACACACCACACTCTGAGTTGCATTACCCTGTGTCTGATGTGTTGTGATGCAGATAGCGTTGTCCAGACCCGCGCGGCCCGCCAGAGGGAAGAGACGCCGCGTCGTCCGATAGAGCCAACCGTACTTTCCCGCCAACACCAGCACTGTTGCCACGGCAACACCGTCTGCGCCGCACTGTGAAGAATCTCCGTGATTCGCTCCTCCTCCGTCTGTTTGTGTTCATTCACCTTGTTACCACGATTGCGACTGATGTTACATTGTTACATTTTCAAACAGTTACCAGGCAACCCAATGATGACTATTGTTAAATTGTTGCAGCAGTTTAGGAATGGTTATTGTTTGTTAACTCTTGCTTATTGTTTCATGACTGAGGTCCAGTGTGATTGACGGCTCTGATTAAAAGGAATAATTCAGGCAAAAATGAAAATGTGCTCATCCTCAGGTCATTCAAGACTAGGATGAGTTTGTTTCTGCATCAGATTTGGAGAAATGTGTCACTGCATCACTTGCTCATCAATGGATCCTCTGCAGTGAATGGGTGCCGTCAGAATGAGAGTCCAAACTAGTGATGCACCGAATATTCGGCAACCAAAATTATTCGGCCGAAAATAGCAAAAAAACAAATACCGAATAAATGTTACCGAACAATGACGTGACACGATCAAATAGAGGTGCACACTAATCCAGCAAACATGTCGTCAGTGTGGAAACATTAAATCTGTCCGAGAAAGACCGCCAGCGAGAGACTGCTTAGTGCTGCGTCTCATGTCTTCAGTGAGAAGTGGAAGGGGTTGCTGTACGATGATTCAAATGGAGAAATGGCCTTAAACAATTAGTAAACAAACTGCAGAACGTCATGTTTTCTAAAACACGCATTACATGTATTCTGACAGCGCTGCACGAACTCGTTAGCCAGGGTTCAGAGTCCAAAGCGCGAGGAAAATCTAGCCTGCTCAGTCACATTTTTATGCACTTAATAAAATAAGAAAAGATAATAATAATTACAACAGCTTTAATACATTTATTATAACATTCACACATAGTATTCAAATTGGGATCTGTAATATTTTCTAATGTTTTAAAATAAGTGTCTTCTGCTCAGCAAGGCTGCATTTATTTATACAGTAAAAATAAGGGGGTCTCAGAGATGGCCAAAAAATATTATTTTACTAATTAATTTTAAGTTAAATTGTGCTTTGTTGGTATAATGTCTGCTAAAATGTAAAAAAAAAAAATTAAGTGTTAAATAAGTATTTTTAAATTGTTGTTTTGTCATTTATTTTTTATTTGAAAAGCAGGACAAAACAGTATAAAGCACATTTTGGCTATTTAATTTATGCAATTGTGGAAATATATGGAGAAACAATTAGAAAAAATGAGTCCATAATCCATAATAACAATTCCTCCAGTGAAAAAGTGTTCTGGTGTGAATCAGGAGAGAAATCTGCACAGATCAAGCTGCGTTTAAACAGCTATAAACTAATATGTAGCTGGATTTTGATGTGAGAGACAACAGCAGATGCACTTTTTCACTGGAGGAAGAGTTATTATGGATTATGGACTCATATGTCTTGATGGATTGTTTTAGTTTTTGTCTTCTCGAGATGTTAACTGATGGACTGGAGTGTTGTGGATTACTTGTGGATTATTGTGATGTTTTTATCAGCTGTTTGGACTCTCATTCTGACGGTACCCATTCACTGCAAGTGATGGACTCATACATTTTTTGGGTGAACTGTCCCTTTAAGATTTCACTCCCATCAGGTGCACGTTTGTGTCCAAAAATCCCTCAGACACCGAGACGGACCAAACGACTCGTTATCCTTTAAAAACCCATAATGCACCTCATGAAAGACTCAAATCGCACTCATCACTCAAATGTTTTGTCTTTGCAGGGCCATATATGTGTTTTTTTCCCCTCCTATGTGTAAATGTCTGTGTGTGTTACAGGAGTGTATCTAGGTTTTAGGGGCTTTAGTTGTGGATCTGCACAGAGCTCATCAACACAGGCACAAGATCAATACTGAATATTTAAAATAATGATTTAATAATGAGGCTGATTATGCAATTTTACTATTGAATTTATGTATATATGTACAGTTTTAGTATTTTATTTTGTACACCTTTTTTAGGGAAAAAATGATCAATTTGTAAAATATTTCTCATGCAGAGAAACCTTTCCTTTCTCATATTCATGTTTGATTTGTAAAGAAAATACTTTGAGAATTGTGAACAAGTAGCATTTCCTTTTTTATTGGGAGTTGATTTTTTTTTTTTATTTAACAAATTAAAACGTTTTAAATGATGAAAGCTCTCGTCTGATTATTTTGTGTCACTGTTTAGACGTCACCAGCCAAAACTGTTAAGTTGTTCTGCTTCAGAACATTAAATATTTATAAGATGGAGAAAAAAAACACATCGACTCTCTGCGCAAAAAGTTTTTCTAAATATTTCACTAACACTTTTAGAAAACTGTCCTGTTTAACTAGCTCTGTATATCACTTATTTATAATTTATTAATCGTTCTCAACATTAACATAAAAATACAATTGTTTATTCCTTATTTCATCAGTGAATTAATGTTACACATACAACTGTTGATATAAATTTTGAATATGTTTAACATCAACTAAGATTATTTAAAGCTTTAGAAGTATTGTTCGTTAATGTAGTTAAAAAAAAACATTGCAAAGTCTTTTTGTCTGTTGGAATGCGTTTTAGAAAAAGTCCTACAGGTTTTTGAACAATGGCTTAAAACGTCTAAAAACCTTTGACTGGCAAGAAAAAGAAAATAAGCTGCTTAACTATCGTAGAGAAAAATTGAGGAACTAAATGAAACAAAGCCAACAAACTAATGTCCATATGACAATAATATATAATGCTTTAAGGCAACGCATATTACTTCTTAAAGGATTCAAGGATGAAGATAAGCGTCAAACAAATTGATTTCTAACCCTTTTATTTTTTGATATTCATATTTAGCATTATACTAGAAAATTTCTAATAGAGAAATTTTTTTTTAAATTGCACTAGCAAAACCTGCTAAAATGTAAAGGAAAAAATACATTTAAAAAATTTAAAAACATACAAATTTACAAAAATGCTAAATAGATTTTACTAAAATCTAATAATGTAAAAAAAAATATACAAAGCCACAAAAAGTCAAATCTACAAACATGTAAAAATATACAAATTTACAAAACCGTAAAATTAAAAAAAAAAAAATAATCTACAAAAATGTAAAAAAGTTTACAAAGCCACAAATGTGTAAAACCTACAAATAAACTACAAAAATGTAAAAATACAAACCCACAAAAAAATCTATGTAAATTATATATATATTAAAAAAAAACAAAAATGTAAAAATCTCAATCTAATAATCCTTATCTGATAATCCTAATGACTGGAACATGTAACTGGAATGTATTGTGAGGGAATGCCAGGAAAATGTGTGGAATGCTGTGAACTTTCAAAACAACAACAACAACATGAAACAGATTTCTGGAAGCATTTTATTATCCAGAGATGCATTTGAAATTCTCTATTGGAAAATGATCATAATTCGTGGACTCAGCGCCACACATTAATAACACAATAACGGTTACAAGCGATCGCTCATGAGAACGAGCTAGAAGTACAGATAAGCCTGTATTTACACACACAGCGTCTCCTCACCTTCAAATCAAAGCCTGTGTGGATCAGGATGGAGAGATTCAAATCAGAACTCTCAGACGCTGGGTTTGAGGGAGAGCATCTGAACGCTGAAGCTTTAGGAGGCTCTGTAGTGTGGGGACGGTTGCTCTCGACACTCAGCAGAAAAACAAAAGGGCGGCATGAGAAACAGCTTCCTTCACTCTCGCTCTCTCTCCTCACGCCAGACCGATGGCTTTTATTTGGAGAGTTTCTTCATCCTCTGGTCCAGCGCGGAGAAGTTCTCCTCCACAGCCAGCAGGTTCTCCTTCATGGTTTGCTGGACCTGCGAGTGAAGAACGGCATGTTTAACTCTTTCCCCGCCAATGTAGCTCCTCAGAAACAGTTGTGGTTGCTACAAAGTGGTTGCCGAGCAACACACAGACGTAAACAAAGGTGTATGTTACTTTGTAGAGTATTTTACAACAGCTTCGAACGCGGCTCAGCCAATCAGAATCAAGGACCGGAACTCTCCGCTTTGTAAATCAAAATAAAGATCAGACCCTCAACTTTTAAACAAAAACAAAATCTGTTTTATTCTAGCTTCAAGCCTTGTTTTTTTTATCAACACTTGAACGTAGGTAGGTTTCATAAAAAAGCAACATTTTGAGCAAAAAGCAGAGGAAATTGCATTTTTATCAAATACTACATCTGGATCATATTCAGTAATATTATCAAAGCAAAGATGCAGTAGATGACTTCCGTCAGCGCTCCCAAAGCTTGCTTTCTGGATCCACATTTCACTCGCTAACATCAGGCCGTTTTCATTTATATGCAGTTAGGGGTGTAACGTACACAAACATGACGATTCTTCTGCTCTAAACTATAGGGACTATAGGAAGGTTACAATTAACAACAGAGCCCAAACTTAAATTCAATTGCTATTTATTTTTAGCTATAATAATCAACACTCTAATTAAAAATTTGTATGCAAACATGTAAATCGCACATAATGCAGTTTATAAATTAACTTCTAAATGATACAATTTCTATTTGTTATTGAAACAGACCTCATTTACACAGTGGCTGTCATAACTTGTTTCATAACAGATTTATTGAAACATACATTAAATGATTAAGGCATCACGAACAGGTAAAGTGAAATATGAGTATATAGTCTAATATTTCGTGAAATGCTCTTCTCTAGTAAATAACGAGCTGTAGACACTGATGACTTGCCTGAAGTAAATTAAATGCTCTTTTGTTTACAAGCTGTTTTATTGACGTCTTTCTGCAAGTGAAACACTGATTGAACGATTACACGAGGCGTGGTTTGTTCATTCCTTTATATTTTTTGTGTTAAAACTAGTAATAATCTGTCGTGCCTCATCAGAGCGCCAAAACGGCATTTATTGTCTGAATTTCCTGAAAAAAATGTAATGATTTGTTCGGTACACATGCGTACAGAACTGAAAAAATATATGTAACGTTACACCTCTAGCAGTTAGTGTTGATGATCACATTATTTTTCATATGCATATGCTTTCATATGAGATCGCTTGTTTCTGCATCTTCCTGGTCTGTGTTTTTGATCGACTCATTCAGGAGATGCGTAATAGCACCCCCTAGCGTATAACACAGGGATTAAAGTTCCGTCGCTACGACAGATTTCCGTCAGTTCATAAAGACAGTCACTTGCTTCATTCCTAAATGATTCAGCCGATCGAACGAATCAACTGAATGAATGATTCAGCCGTTCGAACTAATCAATCGAATGAATGATTCAATTGTAAAATCAGTGACTTGCCCGCCACCTGCTGGCGGATTTAGTTTCATTTTTAGCGTATAATTTCAGTTATTTAAATCATATTTCTGTATTCAAAATTGTATATTTAAAACATTAATCTCCACATGAATTTATGAATTTAATTGCACTCATGCTACCTCTGAGCCTCATTAAACGTCTGAAAATGTACCTACAAGCCACTTTTGTGTTCTTCTGTGCCACCTCTGTAGTACAAATTAATTTATTAATACTAATTTCATATGATTGGTAACTTATTTGTCTTATCCCTGATAACAGCAGAAACACGGAAAATTCCATGTTTGGCGGGGAAAGAGTTATTGCGGGGAGTGTTTGCGTCAGTGGTGTTTGAGGACAGACCTGCGTGAGCAGAGTGCTGTTGTCCTTCAGAGAGTTGTTGATCATCTGCTGCGTCGTGTCCAGATGGGTCAGCAGCTGCCCAAACTGCATCGCTGCACCACAAAACAAGAGATCAAAAACATAACATAATACACACATTTTTTTGTGTATTTAAAGGGGTCATATGATGCGATTTCGATTGTTCCTTTCTCTTTGGAGTGTTACAAGCTCTTGGTGCATAAAGAAGATCTGTAAAGTTGCAAAGACTAAAGTCTCAAATCCAAAGAGATATTTTTTATAAAAGTTAAGAGTACACCACACCTACCTAAAAGGCTCGTTCTAACACGCCCCCACATATCTACGTCACGATGTGGGAAGATTTGTATAACACCGCCCAAATGTTCAAGCAAAGAAAGGCGGCGTAACTTTTACTTGTGTACTGCATCATCACTGTGTCGGTCACGCGACTCTATTGTCCTTTCAGGCTTGAACTGATGGTAAAACTAACGACATTATTAACTGTCTTGATATTTACTTTGAAAGATGAAGCTGGCGATTATGGTAAGGGGCGTTACATTTCCGACGCGTGCTTGCGGTGTTCGGCCAATCACAATGCACTGGGTCAGCTGGCCAATCAGAGCAGACTGCGCATGTCAAAGAAGGGGGCTTTGTTGAAAATGACACGTTTGAGAGAGGCGGGGCATAGAGCACCTACAATAATGTACAGTATTTGAAAAATAATGTGTTTTTTGAACATTAAAGCATGTCAACATATTCTGTTACACCAAATACACAAAATAATGATCTTTAAAATAGCATCATATGACCCCTTTAAGCCCCAAAGCAAGCATCTGAGTGAAGTGTGTTGAGGATACCCTGCTCGTGCAGCTCTCTGATGGCCAGCAGTCTCTGCAGCAGCTGCGGGAGAGACGTGGCCATCGCATCCCACTTCTGCACCACGTCATACAGCTGAGACACCTGCACACAGACCACAGACCACAGACCAGACTCGTCAGTCAGCTCGTTAACTCCAGGACCGTCTCTATGCTGAACGCAGGACGCACCTTGTTCTGGGTCTCTGCGTCCTCGATGGCCGCCTTGTGCTTGGCGATTTCATTCATCTTCCCCAGAACACTCTGAAGAAAAAACAAAGACAAGCACTCAGCGTCGACTGCACTCGCAATAACAGCTCCGTTTAAACACGACATTCACAAAAATATTATAAAAAATTATCAAATTAATAATTTGATAAAAAAAATATAATTCTTATTCTTCTCATTATTCAGGTTTAATAAAAAATAACTAATTTAAATTAATTTAAATTAATTTATTAAGCATTTATATAAAAATAATAATAATTATTATTATTGGGGATTAATAATAAAACCTGCAGCTATAGAGTTTAGTAGTAATAGAGTAATAGTAGTAGTAGTAATAATAATACAATGATTAATAATAATAAAATCTTTTGGTGCTAACATAATTATTATTAAACAATTATATAATAATAATAATAATGATACAATTATTAATAACAATGAAA